TCAAAATTTCAAAAATCAAAAAGCACCTTTATAAGCTCAATGTTTTTTGCCTCTGGACCAGTCACCTCAATGACTTTTCTAAACTCATCATCTATCCAAGTCTTCAGAACATTAACAATAAACAACTTGTGTTTAGTTTCAGAGAGTGAACACCTTAATGTTCTACCCTATAGTGATGAGACGTACAAAAAGTCACAAACTAAAACAGTATTGGGAATGCATCGGAATAACCATGCCCATTTTTATTTTGCCTATAAAAAATAAAAATAAAAAAATGAATAAGTGCGTCTCAGGTCCCAAACATTTAATTTTTACAAAGACCAATGTGTCCAAAAATAGGTCGTACTGTTGTAAGCACAAAAATACCTTGAATTCTTTGTTGTGCAACTCTTCAATGGCCTATTGTGTAACCTCCTTGGTTTTGAATGTGACAAAGGCAAAACTCTTACCGTCACCAGTACCCCTATTTTTCATTAAATTTATTTGCAAACGATTGAGACATTAAAACCATATTGGAATTGCAACAAATAAATTCCTAAATGATACAGGCAGAAAGATCATGATCCCCAACACCCTTTTTCTTCCTCTTGGATTAGAACTAACCTCAATAATCTTGTCCATTGATTTATAGAGATCCCTCAAATCTTCTTATGAGACGTCTCGAGGAAGTCCACCAACAAAAATTTCAGACCCATGAGGCGGAAGGGCAAGAAGCTCTGCACACTCCTCTTTGTTATCTTCATCAATTGAAACAGTAGTTTTTTTCTTGATCTTCCACGAGCTCATTGGCAAGGTTGCTCCTGTCTGCTTCACCTCTATCTACTTCTATTAATTGGTCTTTCCTACTAGCCTTACTTCTCAAGTCCTCAAGTTGGTTTTCACCGTTTTCATTGCCACCTCCTCCTGCGTCATCATCCTCTATTTGTTCTTTAACTTCTTCGTCCATTTCTTCAATGTAATTGTCATCATCAAGATCCACCCAGTCCTCATTTTCCATTCCCTCAGGCATGACTACTTCATGTCCCAAGTCTTGTGATCTAAAGGACACACTGGACTTCTAACTAAGTTACTTGAAAACTTGCACTAAAGATACATAGAAGCTAAGAATTTGCTTAAATCATGATACAGTGATACCCATGTAGATGGATTGAAAAACACTATGCAAAGTTAAGTGAAAGTTAAGGAGAAATATAAGAATAGAAGTGCATAAAGTACTTCACAAATCCTCTGGGTTTCACAAGTTGTGTGTAGATAGCAGAGTAAACACTAACCAATTCTCAAATGCACCTTATAGATGTTAATAATTTAATAGGAAAAGAAAAGAAAATTTATTGCTCTTTTGGCATCATTCTAAAAAACTATTTCCTGTTCTTGAAAAATATTTCATACAAGTTTTTGTTTGTATTGACAGGCCGGGGAAATTCTCGAGTCTCTGTATTGGATTTTTTCCCTCAAATTTCTAATTTCAGTTATTTTGGGATCTCCTAAATAACCATCTATGGTCATGTTTATGGGGGAATTTGGCTTGTTTCGTTTATGACTTTTATATCCTTTTTCCTATAGAAATGACTCCCCACATTAGTTAATCCTTACTAGCTTTTTATATGGGAATAATTGAAAAGCCCAACCCACACTTCTCCTTAAAACCCAGGTATTAGGGAGAAGGAAACTGAAACCTTATAACTAGCACAGATGTGGTAACTCCAGGCGATATGAGACACATTCCAAGACACCCTCCTAGCCACAACATACACTAGCTGGACAAACGGCACACCAGTTACAGACCCAACTAAGCTCTGATACCAAATTGAAAAGCCCAGCCCACACTTCTCCTTAAAACTCAAGTATTAAGGAGAGGGAAACTGAAACCTTATAACTAGCACAGATGGGGCAACTCCAGGTGATGTAGGACACATTCTAACAGGAATTTATGTTTATTTACCAGTTTTTGTTGGCTATGGTAATCAAAGTACTCTTGCATGAAACACAAGTAATGTTGACAACATTATTTGACTTCATTCACGGAATCACAGATTATTAATGGTCTTGTGACTTGTGAGGTTTTATAATACAAATGACAACGAGCACACACCTCAAATAGGTCAAAGACTACAAAGACTCCAGAGCAAGAATGGGAAGGATTATTTGTCCCATAAATAAGTTTGCAAACATACACAGACTCAAGTGAAAGGAAAATTGATCTCTCACATCTTACATGAATATCTGATAATATTCTAAGCCTCCATAGAAAAATAAGATTTTATGATAATATTATAATAATACCATAGTTCCTTCACTTACCTTGAGTTTTGAGATACTAGTCACAAACTAAAACAGTATTGGGAATGCATCGGAATAACCATGCCCATTTTTATTTTGCCTATAAAAAATAAAAATAAAAAAATGAATAAGTGCGTCTCAGGTCCCAAACATTTAATTTTTACAAAGACCAATGTGTCCAAAAATAGGTCGTACTGTTGTAAGCACAAAAATACCTTGAATTCTTTGTTGTGCAACTCTTCAATGGCCTATTGTGTAACCTCCTTGGTTTTGAATGTGACAAAGGCAAAACTCTTACCGTCACCAGTACCCCTATTTTTCATTAAATTTATTTGCAAACGATTGAGACATTAAAACCATATTGGAATTGCAACAAATAAATTCCTAAATGATACAGGCAGAAAGATCATGATCCCCAACACCCTTTTTCTTCCTCTTGGATTAGAACTAACCTCAATAATCTTGTCCATTGATTTATAGAGATCCCTCAAATCTTCTTATGAGACGTCTCGAGGAAGTCCACCAACAAAAATTTTAGACCCATGAGGCGGAAGGGCAAGAAGCTCTGCACACTCCTCTTTGTTATCTTCATCAATTGAAACAGTAGTTTTTTTCTTGATCTTCCACGAGCTCATTGGCAAGGTTGCTCCTGTCTGCTTCACCTCTATCTACTTCTATTAATTGGTCTTTCCTACTAGCCTTACTTCTCAAGTCCTCAAGTTGGTTTTCACCGTTTTCATTGCCACCTCCTCCTGCGTCATCATCCTCTATTTGTTCTTTAACTTCTTCGTCCATTTCTTCAATGTAATTGTCATCATCAAGATCCACCCAGTCCTCATTTTCCATTCCCTCAGGCATGACTACTTCATGTCCCAAGTCTTGTGATCTAAAGGACACACTGGACTTCTAACTAAGTTACTTGAAAACTTGCACTAAAGATACATAGAAGCTAAGAATTTGCTTAAATCATGATACAGTGATACCCATGTAGATGGATTGAAAAACACTATGCAAAGTTAAGTGAAAGTTAAGGAGAAATATAAGAATAGAAGTGCATAAAGTACTTCACAAATCCTCTGGGTTTCACAAGCTGTGTGTAGATAGCAAAGTAAACACTAACCAATTCTCAAATGCACCTTATAGATGTTAATAATTTAATAGGAAAAGAAAAGAAAATTTATTGCTCTTTTGGCATCATTCTAAAAAACTATTTCCTGTTCTTGAAAAATATTTCATACAAGTTTTTGTTTGTATTGACAGGCTGGGGAAATTCTCGAGTCTATGTATTGGATTTTTTTCCTCAAGTTTCTAATTTCAGTCATTTTGGGATCTCCTAAATAACCATCTATGGTCATGTTTATGGGGGAATTTGGCTTGTTTCGTTTATGACTTTTATATCCTTTTTCCTATAGAAATGACTCCCCACATTAGTTAATCCTTACTAGCTTTTTATATGGGAATAATTGAAAAGCCCAACCCACACTTCTCCTTAAAACCCAGGTATTAGGGAGAAGGAAACTGAAACCTTATAACTAGCACAGATGTGGTAACTCCAGGCGATATGAGACACATTCCAAGACATCCTCCTAGCCATAACATACACTAGCTGGACAAATGGCACACCAGTTTCAGACCCAACTAAGCTCTGATACCAAATTGAAAAGCCTAGCCCACACTTCTCCTTAAAACCCAGGTATTAAGGAGAAGGAAACTGAAACCTTATAACTAGCACAGATGGGGCAACTCCAGGTGATGTAGGACACATTCTAACAGGAATTTATGTTTATTTACCAGTTTTTGTTGGCTATGGTAATCAAAGTACTCTTGCATGAAACACAAGTAATGTTGACAACATTATTTGACTTCATTCATGGAATCACAGATTATTAATGGTCTTGTGACTTGTGAGGTTTTATAATACAAATGACAACGAGCACACACCTCAAATAGGTCAAAGACTACAAAGACTCCAGAGCAAGAATGGGAAGGATTATTTGTCCCATAAATAAGTTTGCAAACATACACAGACTCAAGTGAAAGGAAAATTGATCTCTCACATCTTACATGAATATCTGATAATATTCTAAGCCTCCATAGAAAAATAACATTTTCTAATAATAAACTAATAATACCATAGTTCCTTCACTTACCTCGAGTTTTGAGATACTTTGCAGTATGTGTAAAGACAAATTCTCTCTACAGATCAGGATAGAAGCTGCAACATACTATGGGAAAGAAGAATCACCAAGTCTAACTCCTAATATTGCACGATCGTAACAAAGCATGAGTTCCACACCACTCGGCTCTGACTTACTCATATAGCCATCTTCATCCATTAGGATGCTGAATAGGTCTGGAAATACACATTTGAGACAACATCCTTGCACCAAGGATCATTCCAAAAATAAATCTACCATCTCCCTTTGTGTATCCAAATGCTTTCAAAATTTCTCCGACCATAATTTCGCTCTTAATATCAACCAGCCATATGAGAATGTCTTACCTAATTAGAGTCTGATATACCCTTCCCATATTTGTCTATCACATCTTAAATGAATATCTAAACAAAAAATAACAAATAAGCAAATTGATTGTAAAAGATCAATGTTAAACAACATAGAAAATAGACCATTTTTTGACACAAACACTACACTATAATCAACTAAGCTAACAACAAAATAATGACAAAGCCATGTGGAGTAGGTTGTTCAAACCTGGAACCTTACATATTCCCAAGGTTGAAGGGGAATAGAATGGATCAAACAAGTAAGTAACAAAGAACTTTCAAGCAACTCTTGATCTACAGTGTATCCTCCTAATTAGATATTCCTCCAAACCAGCAGCCGCTTCCACTATTCTTGTGTCAGGCATTATTTCTACCTTCAAAACCTCTTCGAAAAGATTTCCCATTCCAACAGTTTCATCCACCTCACAAATTCTAGGTACAATTTCCACCCAAGTATCCACATGCGGGGCTTCCCCATGTCTCAACATTTCCTCCAACATTCCACAAGCTTCATTGACCTTGCCAACATTACAGAAGCCAATGATCAATGCATGAAAGATTGAAAAATGTGGAGAAAGCCCTTTCAATATCATTTCTTTCATATAATTCTTGGCCTCGTCATACATGCCCTGATTGCATAAACCAGTAACCAAAGTCCGATAAGACACCAAATTCGATAAACACTCATTTGATTGTATATCCTCCAGAACCTTACAAGCATCGAAAGCATAACCTTCCCTGCAGAATCCCAAGATGACAGTATTGTAATGAGCAATGTCAGGATTGCATCCTTTAACCTTCATCTTGCAAAGGAGCTTGTAAGCCTCCTTAAGCTTCTTCCTACACAAACAGTTCAACAATGTGGTATAACTCAAAGTATCTGGCACAAAACCTTTGTTCAACATATCTTCCAACAAGTCAATAGCTTTGTTCACCTGACTCTTCCTACACAATCCCTGCATTAAAATTCGATAGGACTCAACATCAAGAGCAACATCTCTTTTAAACATCTGATTGAACAGGGAATATGCAATGCTGAGACGACCATGAAAACAGAAGGCACGCATCAGAATGTTGTAAGAGTTAGTGTTGGGTGATGTTCCGAAGCGGTGAGCAGATTTGAAAAGGTCAAAAGCAGGGCGGAGATAGGTGGGATGAGCGACAAGGACCTGGAGGACAAGGTTTAGGTGCTTGGGCAGGGGTTTGGTATTGAATTGGAGGATGGTGTAAAAGGTGTTGAGGACTTTGTCGGGAAGTTGGGCGTCAGCATAGAATCGGATGATGTGGGAGAAGAGGGAAGGAGCGGCAGGGTAGCCATGGGCTTTGAGACGAGAGAGGAGGTTGTGCATGAGAGAGAAGTGACGAGTGTGGCCGAGTTTGAGAATGAGAGTGTGGAAGGAAGAGTAAGAGTGGTGGAAGTTGGATTGGCGAGAGGCCAAGTTGAAAATTTCTATGGCAAGGAGTGGGTTTGGTTGGGAAGCTATGAGCTTTTGGATTCGAGCAGGGGACCCAATTGGGATTGCAGAAGGACGAGGAGGAGGAGGAGGACGAGGAGGAGGAACTAAATGTTTTTGCATCTGTTTGAGTTGTTTCCGTTTCTGCCGTTGATTATGGTCTTGTTGTTGTTGTTGGGGTGTTGAAGAGAAGAAAGAAAATTTTGGGAGTTTCAACGGGAGAATAGTGGAACAGTGAATAACGGTGGTATCAACTTTGTAGGAACGAAGATGAGGAAGAAGCAGTTGGTGCATTCTAATAGATCAATTAATGGT